TAGAAGGAACTAGAGGGAAAATAGCTAGTTTTACACATTTTAGTCTCTCCTCAGTCAAACAGAACAAGTACATAATTCACAGTAAATTAGGTATATTTATTAAGTACTAATGTATGTGACTATAATAAACTGTTTTCCAAGCTTATATGTTGAGTTTTGAAGGAATGAAAATTCAAATATTAAGAAAACATGAAAAACAGTGTATTTTCACTATAACTCAGTCAAATCTTGCTCAAATTTAATAATTAAAGTGTCTATTTGAAGCATATTTAAGAAACATGAATTTATGTCAAATAACCACTGAATTCTGTGCAGAATTGAGTGAGAAATAGCTATTTTTTGTTTTGTTTACTTTTGTGACAAAAAATGATGAACCATCAAGTGTGACAATACTTATGAAAAAGGCAGTAAGCAACATATTTGGACAATTTGGCAAAGGTAGCAGACACACTAACTTACATACAGATGCATACAGGCATCACTCACATGACTACTTATTACACAAAGTAGTGTATGTACTGTAGTATAAAAGCAAGGGCATTGTGCCCTGTAATAATGATCAATTATTACAAGAGTCCCCTGCATCTAGTGTAAACTCCCCACTGTTTGTTTAACAATTATTTATGTTAGTTTTCTGTGTGTGTTTAAATACTATTCTGTTTTCTGTGTTCAGGACGAAATAACTGGCTTGTGCTGCAAATCACCGTAGAATAATAGGACTTAATATAATGTACTTGATGGGTGGAGTCGAAGATTGAAGCTGCAACCGCGTTACCGTGGGAATTTCATCCGCAGATAGCCGCGCTGCGAATGACAGTTTTTGCGGGCCATTCTCTAGGTCTTCAGTGCTTTGCCAAATTATCCTGAAGACTAATAATTCCTACAATTGCATCGCCTCCATCTGTGGAGGGTAAATAACGGCACGCGGCTCAGAAAACTTTTGTCCTTGTCTTCGGGCGGAATTCTCGGGGAGTGACGTGCTCTTAGTCTTCCATTCAACCATCTGGATAACTGGATTTGTACTTCTCGCACATTCTCTCGCCAGAACGTGCTCTGTTGCTACCTGAGGTGTGTTCGTGGACGACCTGAGCTGCTGAAAGGGCAAAGTCTAGGTCTCCCGAGCCCTTGTTTCAAAACGTATTTGTTCCGAACATGACTTTGGAATTCAATGTTATTTTGGTACCAAGTGTCTAACTTCGGGAATGTATCCTCAGATCTACCTTGTCCAATTCAACACATTTGATTGCGGCGGCCAACGCCTCTACCTCGTTGCCTCTGGCCATCGTATCCGATATTAACGCATTTCCCTAAACAAAGCATCCTCGATGTCGATCATAGCGCTTCTGGCGCCTTTTACGCGTCGGCAGAGTGGCGCATATGTTTTCGGTCTACTTTAGCGAGCTACGTTTATCCTTCCCCGCAGTTTCAGGACGCCGTGGCTCATTTGCTTTATGTCGGTGCCGGCGAGGAATGCACGGAAGCGAATATGATAAGTTGTGGTACAACGCTACAGAGGCATTGATGCCATTGACCAGTCTCCAATGTTTTCGTCGTGTGGGATTCTTGATTCATTTTTCTGCAGTCTGTGAAGTGCGAAATGGACAAAGCTGGACTCGATGCGTCCCCGGTCCAATATGTGCAGTCGGGTTTCTTGATCCTCAAATTAAACAAGATGAACTTCGAGTTGCACCGCTTCAGATGATGGCGGAAAAACGCATTGTACCCGCGCATAAACGGCTGGAGTAGACGGCAGTCCGCAGCAGGTATGTCAATGTCGCAATACTTTCTTTTGTGGATTAAACAATACGTATAGGCAGTGAGGGAAAAGGTATAAAAGCCAGAGTATCACTGACGAGGTAGAGCAACAACCTTCTGAAGTCTTCTCTACCAATTGCACATTCAAGCTTTCGACAACTATGCTCTTCAAGCAGCTCGTCCTTCTGGCTGTTATCGCCGCTGCTACTGCTGTACCGGTGAGTATCAGTAGTCGGGCCCAGAGCGAGATATACTCAATGATATTTAGGCGCCGCATGATGGGCATGCTCTTGAGTTGGGTGCGTTGCAACCACCACCGCCCCCCGCGCAAGGTATTCCGGGAGGAAAGCGTGACGCGCAGGGGCCCCCGCCTCCTCCGCCACCTCACGGAAAGCGTGACGCGCAAGGGCCCCCGCCTCCTCCCCCACCACACGGAAAGCGTGACGCGCAAGGGCCCCCGCCTCCTCCACCACCACACGAAAAGCGTGACGCGCAGGGTCCTCCCCCGCCTCATCCGCCGCCTCACGGAAAACGTGACGCGCAGGGACCCCCGCCTCCTCCCCCACCACACGGAAAACGTGACGCGCAGGGACCCCCGCCTCCTCCCCCACCACACGGAAAGCGTGACGCACAGGGTCCTCCCCCGCCTCATCCGCCGCCTCACGGAAAGCGTGATGCGCAGGGCCCGCCTCCGCCTCCGCCCCCAGTCCTTCACAAGGACAACGCTTAAAGCCCTGGCTAGGTAATGTGAGGCAGCCTTGAACATTCACAGTCCTTTTCTTTACTGATTCTTATCTTGTCACAAAGATTAAGTTAAGGAATTCAATGTGAAGGAATCGCTTTGAATAGTCTGCATGGTCAGACGTTGCTATTTTCTCTTGAATCGAATCTTCAGTCGTTCTTTTAGTCTCACTCTTCTGACTTCATGAAAACTCTAAAACCCATATCGCCGTGTTTCGTTCCTTAGTAATGCCTTGATATTAAATAGTGCCTCGTTGATAAATGTCTTGTCATTCATTCATTATAAGACATGATAGTATGTTCGTAGTCCTACTAGTGAGAGCCCGAAGAGCAAGACTTTATAAGGTTATTCTTTGCAATTATTATACAGGCGCTCAAGTTCTCTACGCTTGGGATAAAAACATAGGACCAAAGTGGTCGAGTTCGGCTATCGTGCAAGAATTAGTTGAACTTGGCATAGAAAAAAGGAACATCGAATATAATAGAGTAACAAGGTACAAGTATTCATCTCACATTCATAACTCCTGATAATGTTCAATAATCTTAAATTTCACTGACTTGAATTTGTAGGCCAACAGAAACTGAAGTAACAGCCTAATGAACTTGGGATGGATCTGTATACTTTCTAGAAAGCTTTCATCTCCACCTCGATATCTTTATTGTTCAACATAGAGTCAACCACTATTAAAAGAAACCTATATTAGCGTCAAAGACTTGTATATGTTTTGCCAACTAAAAAAAGGAAGTATTCCTTACTGGTGCAGATTATTTATCATGTCCTCTGATTAGGCTACAAGCAAATCTCAAATCTTGATAGATATCTGTGGTGTCAGTCAGTTTCCACGGTTTAAATCGTAAGACGAGCACAGCGAGCGAGTATCGAATACCTCACTCTGCATCTGCTATTTGACTTCATACATAAAGAGGAGCACAATGGAGTGAACTTTTGGTGCAGATGGATACATGGAAATTGCGTTGGGACAAATTTAACGGACGATCGGTAGCAGTTGGTAATATCAATATGAATCCACCTTATTCAGAAACTCAGAGGGCGGGAGTGACTATATTGTATGGCAGTGCTAATGTTATCGGGACCAGACCAACTACTACTGTATAAACCGGCAATACAAATCTCCTTCATACTCCTATTATTATGGGAATAGCTTATTATCGGCCTGGCGTAAAATATTGACAGTTTCCAAACAGATAATCCTGCTAATAGTAGAACTAAAAATGGAAGCTACGGAGTAGTTGACCCACCGACGTTTCAATGTCTCAGTTATTATTCACCAAAGGTGATACTTATGTGGTGGTTCAGTGTCGTATTGTAGCGCTCATGAAAACTTTCTGTTCCTGGCCTGGAAAATCCATCGCGGAATGACAAACATATTTGGGCGGCGCTCTGGTAATACCCGAGAGTATTAAGATGGGAACAAGTAATAAGTAATGCCGGTATTGCACTGTAGAAAAAGTCAGTTTCAGTAAACCTTGATCTAGAATACTTCTAAGTACTACGTCTTGGTAGAACATAGTAGCTCACCTCCCAAGAAAGTTCGAAGGAATGGACTCCCGGTGTACGAGATATACCGAGCCCTAATACAGCAAAATATTTCTGTAAGCCTTCTATCAGGGTAAAATCTTCAGTCGAGGAAGAATCCAAACGTGTGCAGAAAGCGGCGCACGGAGTATCGGAACGATATCTTGCATATTTTTGTACATCACTTGAGTGCCCATTTATTTAATCCCTATCAGCTCATTCTCCGAGCTTATAGGAGAGAACTTATAGTGGGATATCAACTCATAGGGTTGAAATGGTTCAGACGAATTGCACGAGACATCGAATGCGCCCATTATCGTTGCGACTTGTTGGGATCTGTTGTCCGCCCCTTTCAGCGTCTTTGGATGCTGATATTCCAGGTGCGGTGAATTTGGCCAATTCAGTAAGAACAAGGGTACCCCAAAGTCTCTTGAGAAGCTGTCTCAGAACGGGGTATATTCTGATAATTGTTATCATCGCGGAATAAAGGCGGCGTTAGTCAAGCAACTCCTTGTTGACCCGTCTACATTGGACAGACCACGGATATCTTGAAATGGAGCTGCACAGATGTTCGTAGATACTAGATTTTATCAGATAACGGCCTCGGTATTTAACACTGATGCTTACTGCGTAATGGACGACGTGGTATTGGTTCCTGAGTGGGTGCTTGACAGCGATCTCGATTTTCCCGGAGCCTTTCAGTAACGGAGTTCTTGGCGGTCATCCCAAATTAAGCTAATCAAGTTCAAGGGTGCATTTTTATCCATTGGTGTCGTATGGAGAAGTCGGTCGGACTGAATTGCGATAGTTGGTGGTGTAACAAGTCGAATCGTACCTTGAAACGAACGTATTTTATTTACCAGAGGTGGCAAGTGAATTGCGGCCAATATGGCCGTACAGCAACGAGTTGACCCGGAAAAAGGCATGCTGAGTTCCGACCTGACAGGTTCGCTGTGAGCGCTATGATGCAGCGTGGGGTAAACAGGATGGTCCCGTGTGTGACCGAACGCGCGACGATGACGAATTATAAATATTATTCAGATGAGATGTCTGGAAATCGAAGTGATGGGTATTCAGAACAGGAGGCACCGACATATCGCATTGTTTGGATAAAACGCCCGAGAATGATATTGAAAGGCTGGAGCAGAAGCGGATGTCAAGGTTGCGAGACCCACGTGGAGCGGAAGAAGTTTAGAAGGGTCACGTGGTATTTATCTAACCGACGAATGTCAAAATCAAATTTCTTCATGTTACCGTCTCTTTTTTTCCACCTTACCCAGAGTCGACTTGTCTCGTGAACTACCGCTGCTACTTTTTTGTCGTCGGTATCAGAAGCATTCTCATGCAGGCAGAAGAAAGTATTGGAAATATATTTGTTCCATTATCTGCGAGACTGTGTCCCTGAGAGTCAAGAAGGTGAGCGGAGGTAGGAATCGACCGACAGCCGATCATCAGATGGACAACGACACTCGTGCAGTGCAGGTGCATCATACACCTGCTGGCACTCTCGTCCCTCCTAAAGGACCACAGCTTTGTTTCTTCCGGATGGGCCTCCTCCTCCTCGGCAGTCGGTTCTCGTCCTAGTCTATCAACCGCGTTGTCACCGTGCGACTATATCAAATAAACTACCGCCGACCGGTTACATCCTGCTCCGACTTGAAATAGCATCTATAAATCCATGGATTCGAGTACTCCTGCTCCCATATACCCAGGCCCTCCTCCTGGTCAGTCTCCGAAAATGTGGCTTAATCCAAAGCTCTATCGAACTCGTTTACTCCTTGATGTCCTCCGCATTTTCGTTTTTCCATCTCTTGTACTGTCGGAACTATGTTGTCAAGCAAATATTCGACTTGGCTTGCTAACTGTGCCCGCACACATTTCGGCCATCATATTCTGGGGCTATATTCGGAATCTCTACTACGACGTCAAACAATCACGAGAAACCAAGCGTCTTGGAGCGAAACCTATTCCAAGAATTAAGGGCAAGTGGCCCGGAAATGTGGACGTCTTGCTCCGAATGATGAAAGCATTCAAGACTGCCTATCTCATGGACGTCTATCTGGAACTCTTCCAAGAATATCAATGCACAACACTCAACACGAGGATATTATGGGTTGATCAGGTATGTCGAGACACTCAGCGCCTACTTTTGATAATCATCATGCGCTGGACTGATTTGACTGCGAACCTGTGATCAAAGATCATCACTATGGATGAAGAGCACAGTAAGCGCGTTTCGCAATTGTGATAAGTGACCAGCCATTTATCTTTGTGTTCTTGTATCAAGTGAAATTCGTTCATGCAACTGGATTCAACCATTTTTGGAGAGGCAGGCGTCAGAAAGAACGAATGTAAGTTGTAGCCATGGAGCATGGAGCGATAATGATACTTCTATCAGTGTCATATTGCCCCTATTCTAAGCATTGCATATATGACATCCCGGGTTACTGATATTCCTTTCACAGGGAGGAGTTCTTAGGTGATGGGATCTTTAATAGGGATGATGAGGTCTGTCAACTTTACGTTAAGCTCCTTCAAAGGCGTTCTGCTGACTATGTTTACAGAAATGGAGGCTGGTATGCCTTTCTTCTGTGCGAATCCTTGAGTACACTAGAAGCCAATAACCAATCCCACAGCATCGAGTAACTGCACGGCCCTTCTTCGCACGCGAACGCATCTCGGATTTCCAAATCTTTGACAAGCACACGACTCGCACATTGAATTTGCTGACCCGCATCACCGCATCAGGTCAACCATGCGACGCACAAGATCTTTACGCACGTTTCACATTGGACAGCGCATCTGAGTTTCTGTTCGGAAATAACTTGGATACTTTGTCACTTTCGCTTCCTGAGCCTGGAAAAGCGAAGATGGGGCCGAAGGGAAGTGCGACAAACGACGAGTTCGGAAGTTTTGCTCAGGCTTTCGAGTTGGCGCAATGTGTTATCACCCAACGTGCCCGCTGGGGATATTTCTGGCCTGTTGTGGAGTTATTCAAGGACAAGATGAAAGAATCTTCGCGAGTGACAAAGAAATGGCTCGACCCGATAGTGCAGCGTGCAATCGATGAAAAGGCCAAGGCAAAGCGATCAGGGATTGAAGCTCCGATGTCGGAAAGGACTTTCCTAGAACACCTTGCACAGAGTACAGAGGGTGAGTAACGCTAATTTGGAAGGCGGCATGTCTTTAATTGAATTGATATCAGATGTTGGCCTCATCCGAGACGAGTTGCTGAGCATCTTACTCGCTTCACGCGATACAGTACGTTCCGAAATGATCGTCCATATTGAGTATTACTGACGGGATTGCCCTCAGACCGCATGTTTGTTAACTTTCGTCACTTACTTTATGGCAATGTATCCGGAAGTCGGGAAGCGCATGCGGGAAGAAGTGCTTCAGACTGTGAGTTCAAGGTTGTTCAGTTACTCCAGAAGGACTAACAGCTCACGATAACGATTAACCACAGCACGGACATGATGGACTACCGACTTACGAAAGCCTCCGGAACCTGAAGTACAGTATGTCCAACTCCACATGCCGAATCTCCGATATTCCGAAGGATCCTAACATCTACACTGATTCATCTAGTGCGTGCTGTCCTGAATGAGACCCTCCGCCTATTCCCTCCTGTACCGTTGAATGTACGGGAATCTCGGCCGGCAGCGGTCACGCTCCCGCCATCGCGACTACCGTCCTGCACCACGACATCCGTGTATCCGCATACGCCATTTATCCCAACGCCACAAGAGCCGTTGTATATGCCTGGTTCGACACCGGTTATGTATATGCCAATGCTCATGCAGCGCAATCCGGATCTCTGGGGTGCCGACGCAGATGAATTCGACCCTGAACGGTTTTTGGACCCTGCAAGGACCGCGAAGCTTACCTCGAATCCGATGATGTTCACTCCATTCAGTGCAGGTCCAAGAATCGTAAGTTTCCTAACACGTTTAAGGAAGAAAGAAACCCAAAGGACTGAATTGTTTGATGTTCTTAGTGCCTTGGACAGAACTTTGCATACAACGAAGCATCTTTCTTCCTTGTTCGACTATTACAACAGTTCGACACGTTCACATTAGTGCCGGAGTTCCAGCCTGAAGGTTCTCAGCCACCCGCATCATGGAGGGGAAAACAAGGTCGTCAGGCTATTGAGCGGTGTTGGCCCGCTGCCGCGTTGACGTTGTACGTCAAGGTGGGTTTAATCTGGTGTTTAATCTCCCCAGATAGATTGATTATACTTACGTGTATCGAATTTCAGGGTGGTCTATGGGTGCGATTTGGAAAGTCTAAATCAAATTAAACTGGGCTCTACATCTTTTCATTTTTCTATCTATCATACTCTGAGGGTGGAATGTTTTTTGAAAGCTTCATTGTCACGATCCCTTAATTGTTCACTTTGATGTTTTGTTGTCTGTATCCCAAACCGACCTGTGAATTTTCCCTCCTCAAGTTTTGCGTCCTCCATTTGTTCATAGATTTTTAGATACCTTTGGAGTCATTTTGTTTCAATTGGTGTATCTACTTATGCCTATCTATCTTGTAGCTCGGGATTATCATTTTGTCTCTCTGTAGTCAATTTCACTCAATACACGATAGAATTCAATGCCAGAAACTGAGAATAAGCGTCATCAAACACGTATTAATTCCTTATATGGAAGTTCAGTTTCACGCTTCTCGTGACGCGTCATTGGCAACATTGGACGCGACGCGCAAGCTTGACTTCGAGCAACCTTCCACTGGACTCTAATCATGGATCATTTTCCTACAAACTGGGGTCGTCCTGTAAGTACTCGACCGAATGAATCTTGACATTGGGAGATTTCCTAAGATTTATTGCAGCGCAGTGATGCTGTAGACCACTACAACACGTACCCCATTCACAGCAGGCCGTTTAATGGACAACCGGTGGATAAGTTTAAAGAAAGTTCACAGCGTACTCTGTACGTACAATTCATTGACCTGTGGAATCTTGTTGAAGCTTACAATCTGGTGGCATAGGCAACCAATTGTGACGGGTACGAGTGTTCTCGCGATTAAATACAAAGATGGGATTATGATGGCTGCAGACAATCTTGGTACGTTGAGCTTACCTATCTATTCTCGCCAAGGGTCATACTGAAATTATGTATTGTAGCATCGTATGGCTCACTTGCGCGATTCAAGGACATACAGCGTCTACACCCCGTAGGATCCTATACCGTTCTTGCAGCGAGTGGCGACATGTCGGACTTCCAGTACATCCAGCAAACTTTAGACGACCTTCTCATTGAGGAAGAGACCACGAAGGATGATGGGCACAAGCTTGGTCCTGCTGAGATACACGAGTACCTCAGTCAAGTAATGTACAGAAGACGCTCAAAGTTTGACCCACTCTGGAATGCAATCCTCGTTGGAGGATTTAAGGACGGACAAAGGTTCCTCGCGTATGTTGACCTTCTTGGTGTAACGTACAGTGCTTCGACTATTGCAACCGGATTTGGTGCCCATATTGCCCTGCCTCTCATGCGAAGTGCAGTAGAGGGACGAGAAGACACGTTAACGGAGGACGATGCGCGTGCGCTCTTGGAGCAGTGTATGAAAGTCCTGTTCTACAGAGATGCGAGAAGCTTGAACAAGGTATGCTTCAGCTCTAGCCAAGCTATAAAGTATTAACTGATACGTACCATTCTAGTATCAAATTGCAACCATCACAGCAGATGGTCCACGCATTTCTGAGTCCAAATCTGCACAGACTGAGTGGGCATTCGCGGAGGGCATTCGGGGGTATGGTGCGCAAACGCAATGAAAATCTGATACAAGTATTATTGTCTTTGTTTTCCCTATTGCTACAATGTACTTTCCGTGTTGACGTACACTTTCCGACCAATTCGCCAATTACTTGCGAGGTACGCGTCAGTGGCACGTGACCCATTACAATATGGAACAACTCACCAATACCTTTGTGTCTGGTATGGTAACCAAATGTCAAGTCGAACGATTGAACTAATGGCTTGGCATTTCAACTGACAAATCGAAAGGCCTCATGATGGCTTTATGACTCACAACGCGCAGTAATTGGATTATTTTATCAATGGCAACGTCAACTCTGAGACGCGACTTCTCCCGCCCTCGAACCCGCACTAATCCGATTTGTTGTAAGACCCTTTTGTCTGACAGTAGCTTGACCGCACGATTGATGCAAGTCGGGCTGTTGCCCGAAGGGATATTCGAAAACGGTGATTGGTCTTTCTGGGGATTTTATGGATTATTCGTATAAAAGCAAGACTTGAACGTCGTACTCAGCCAGCATTCTGTGCTACAATATTTGCTCGTCTCTTAAGAACTTACTCCCGACTTTTTCACTTGCTGCTACTGTTATTGACCATGACTGTCAAGATCTACGGAGCTGTCCAGGCTGAATGCACACAGCGCATCGTAATGGTGTGCTACGAGCTTAACATCCCATTCGAGCTCGTCTTTGTCGATCTTCCCCACTTCGAGCACAAGAAACCCGAATGGATCAACAATATGCAGCCGTTCGGACAGATTCCTGTTCTTGTCAGTACTCCTTTCATTTCCCTCTACGCCTTTCCTACCCGATCGTCCTTAGTATCCCGAGCGCCGTACTAACTAAGACGAATTTTAATCTTGCAACAGGAGGACGAAGATGGCTTCCGCATGCACGAGAGTCGTGCCATCTGCCGTTACCTCACAGAGAAGTTCGGCGATGGAAAGCTCCTCCCGCGTGAACTCAAGGAACGCGGAAAGTTCGAACAAGCCGCCTCTGTCGAACAAGGTTACTTCAACACACCTGCACACATCATTGTCAGGGAGAGACTCTTCAAGAGGTTAGTTAATCCCTATCTTTCTCATTTCATCTTCATCAGTATTACTTTCAATCTTCATTTCATTTTAATGTTGACGCTCTGGTTTGGTTTGATTTTTTTAGTGTGATGAAGCTCCCAATCGACGAGGAACAAGCTAACGAGGCTGAGAAGACGTTAAGGTCAAATTTGCAAGGTTATGAACGGACTTTGAGCAAGCAGAAGTATCTTGCTGGGGATGTGAGACATCCTTTTTCAACTCTTTTTCCTTTTCAAAGACGAAAGTTTGTAATCATTTGATGATCGGATCAACAGGAACTAACGCTCGCAGACCTCTTCCACCTCCCCATCGGAACTATAATCGGGAAAGTCGGCATCGATGCTCTGACTTCTCAGGATACACCTAACGTTGCGAGGTACATTCGTCATTTCCATTTCGCCATCTAACCTTTCATGCACTTTTGTATAATTACTGATGATATTTTCTTTGATATAATGCGGAATGTGGAACAGATGGTGGAACGAAATATTCTCCAGACCATCTTGGCAAGCCGTTCTTGCCGACCTGGAGAAGGCTGGACCGTTCAAATTTGATTGAACGTAAACTTTCGATGCTCAAGTGTTAGGTTTACCAATGATATCAACCTGCACAGTGCACTGTATATACGTAATATATCCCCACTCAGGAATTCATAATACAGTTATAAATGGTTCTGTTGGTCGTTAAACGGCCGTTCAACTGACGCAGTTTGCATTTTCAATGAACCAAATGTGGTTGCCGCGCAAAGACCTTATTTATCACCTTGATAAAGCCTATATTCATGATAGCACCAAAATCATTGAGTACTGTATCCCATCTTCTGGTCACCTAAGCTCAGCAAAAAATAGAACCTCATCAGATTCGTGTATTGAAACAACGTATATTGCACCAAGCATAAACAGTTACACCTAAAAAGAGTGCTGAGACAAGGACGGATTGTTCAGATAAGCAGACGTCATTGAGGAATTAGTAGAGGGACAATTGGATACAGTTGCGTTTGAGCATGAAGGTCCTGTGCTAGAGATGGAAGTCCGTAACAGTCATAACAAGTAGTTGCCCCACTGCGGAGTCGGAATCGGAAGCACAAAGAAGTGAATTCAAATTCAAATAATAAAGCATAAAAATAAAAATAAAACGTAGATCTCAGCAAATGATACAAATTAAAAGATGTAAAACCGATCACTAACGTTTGAATATTCTCAATACAACAGTTTTTGCACAGAATTCGACCACATCCGGGTAAAGGAGCCGAGTCGTCTGTGATCTTTGTATGGGTAGTCGAATCGTCTTCGGCACCGACAACAGTCCGTTCGTCGTCTTCCACGATATCGCTATGCCTGCGTCGCCGCGCGGTTTCGGTGTGATGCGTCTGGGCGTCTGAGCGGGTGCGTTGTTTCGGCGTTTCATCTAGATGAAATTCTTGAGGTAAGGGTCGGCATTCTGCTGGCCCCGAAGGAGTACCCGGGGGTGAGGGAGAGAAAGAGAGAAGAGGCGTCGGAGGATGGGAAGGCGGGATGGACGTGCACGTCCGTGAACAGATCGTGCAGCTCGTGGCTCGGCACCTATAAAACGTTCTTAGAAAGGTCATAGCCACTACTTATCAGAGTATAAAATACTTACCTCGGACAAACGATGTACTGGGTCTGCTTCGGACCAGCACCAGCATGAGTGCCGAGTGCACGATGGCAAGAGACGCAGGAGAGATCAGAAGTGTCGGGAGCCGGGAAGACAAACGCGTCGGAAGCCAAGACCGGAGGCGAGGTGCGTGCTATCGTGCATGTCGAATCTGACCCCGAGGTTGCACTCGACGCTCGTGAGATCCTGCGTCTCTTGTTTGCTCGCCTCGCCATGCGGGATGATGGTGGACGGGAGAAGGAGGGGACGCGTCCCTGTGCTGGTGAGTGGCTAGTGGCTAGTGGCCTCACGCAAAGAATCGGCTCGGCGCGTGCGTGGATTTGGTTAATTTAGTGCCTCACGTGCTCATGACGCGAGACGCGTCGGACTATTTTCACTCCGATTTTCTTTGTCCCTTTTGTCATCCTGCTTTGTCCATTTAATACTCCTTGCACCTCGGCTTGCTCATTGTCGACCCTTGAGGTGAGTTTCAATACACTGACAACTTGTTTTCATAGGCGGACTGTGGCATCTACTGTACTATTCTGGGATACCATATGTTGCCATCACTTCCTCAGCGGACAGGTCATCCTTCCTCTCACGTCTCCGTGACCAGATATGTGTGGTGCAGATCCCCAAAGTACCCAAGAGCCTGAAACAATAGATGACCCGAAGAGTCCGCGTTTATTACTTTTAATAATACAGAACCACAACTCGGGCAACCGCCTATGACTGCTTCAGCTTCTGCGATGCGTAGAAGGCGTCCATCTCTACTTTCATCTCCGCCTGGACTACTTTCCACGTCTCACGCGATGATATGTCGGCCCACCACCGAGCGACATTCGGCGTCGCTGTAAGTCCCTTGAAACCCAATTCTGTTACGAGGTCTCCGTATGGCAGGTGGATAAGGTCTGCGAGCGTAAGTTCCTAATTACAGCATTTAATACGAAGTCTCAGTCCATTAGGAAGGGATATGGACGCACGTCTCCAGCAAGATACTTCTGTTTACTCAAAATGCGCTCGTATCCCTTCAATTTCTCTTCGAGTATAGAAGCATACTCGGCAGCACGTTCCTCAGACCCTTGCAAGCCTTTCAGACTGTTTTAATGAATGCTGATTAACACCAGCTTTTAAAAGGCAAGCACAGAGCACTCACGGCTTATAATATTTCTCTATAGACATTCCCGAAACATAAAAGTAGAAGTCATTGTTCTCGATTGACATCGCCTGCTCGAACAAAGCGAGCTTCCTCGGTTCTTTCGGTATGAGACTGCTATCTGGCGCATATTTCGCAATCAAGTACCGCGCGATTGCTCGGCCTTCGAAAAGCTGGAATCCATCGTCTTCGATCTACTCGTAGACATAATTCGATTAATAATTGGTCTTGACCTCTTCGTGTGTAGGAATAAGAACGGACGTACAAGTATCGGAATCTGGCCGAAAGGCTGCTTGGTGGCGAGGAATTCTTCCTTCTTGAGATCGTTAAAGAAATCGACTGGTATCAGCTCATATGGGACGCCTATCTCCCTAAGGGCTACCGTGACCATCCGGGTACATGTTGAGGAGTAGAGACCAACAAGCTTCACAACCATGATTTCCAGCCAAAACGAGGCACGGTTCACTATTTGATCGCTGTGTAGGACGGTGCTAAAAGATAGGGAACTGATGACAGCTTGAGACTCGTCTTAAATACTTCCACTGTGCGTACGATCAAAACTTCTCGACCTCCCTTTCTTTCTCTAATTCTAGAAATAATTGCTGTGATGGGGAAATTTATAAGGCTACTACTTTGTCATGATCCTGGGCGCCCTACTTTACTCCTTTTGCAGACAGCCGTCACCCACTGCGATGGCATACGCAGCATCACATGCATAGTTTGATCAACTTCGCAATACAAAGTCTAAGGATGAAGTCATGTGGAAAGTGTATCATTGATATACATTGGTCTTCTCGATCAAAGAAAGAAGATGAACCCTGAGTCGCCAAGGTCTTATAGCATCCGATTTCGCACTGCGAGATTTAAATCCACTATTCACCACTTGAGTCGTTGTAGGAGGCTTACTGAACTCAAGTTACAGTGCCAAAGCAATATACAAGGTGGGAAGGCAGGTTGCAGGCAGGAGCCCAAATGGGTTGCTTTTCGCCCAGAAATTTGAAGTTAATAAATGAATATATCTAAAAAAGATTGAATACTAAAAAACAATACTTGATTTTTATATATTATTATATGGTACAATGTAGTAGTAGATTGCTATATGGATAACTGTAAATGTTATTGTCTTATAAGCGCCTAAACAGATATGCAAGTAATTCTTTAATAGAGTTTTGTTAGTATTAATTGTAGTTGATTAATATATTAGGGTCATACAATATACTCATATATCTACTAATAGTGTATGCAGACATCTACAGGCCAAATGTCTTCCCGTATCCTGCACTAGAGCGCCTGTGGAGACGCCTTGAAATCAATGCACAGGAAGAAGTCGATTTTTAGACTTCAATAGAAACTATTGCTTGTAGCCGTGTCGCCTCTTAAAGTAAGCGCCTTGAGATTTTGTCGCCTTGCAACTACCTCACTCGTTAAAAATCAACCTGCTCCAGCCTATAATGGCGTGCATCGTTGAGGTCCAAGTATCCCTCCATCCCACTTCTCAATATCCGTGACTAGTCATATCAAGGAGGCTCGACTTCATATGCCTTTTTCTTCGTCTTTCCTCATATACAATCCTGCCTTTCCGTTAGATGGAATAGAGCAGACAGAAGAGACTATAGATGAAAATGACGGATCCATCTACGAGCTCTGCTCGCAGCAGTCTTCATCAAACGACACTGCCTCCAACTTAACTGGCTCTGGTAGAATGCTCGGACGACTCTACTCGTATTTAGGACGTGCTCTTGAGCGTACTATTGGCCGCCTCGCACATCAAAGTGGATTCGGTCCTAAGGCAGTTGCCTCCCGAATTAAGCACGTGGAGTTCGAGGGAATAAGGGTCTCAGAAGGCGATGGACTAGATAAGGAGGGTCACATCCGACGAGTCATGCAATGGACTGTGAAGGACGGAAGCGAAGCAAAGCTTCGTACCGACTGTGAGAAACTCGCGAAATATGCCACGTGAGTGCTGGCGTCAAGCGAGCCAAACTATTACTCACTCAGAAAGAATTAATCCTCTTCGCCGTGGCAGTGCAGATATATGGGACACGAGATTTGAAGCGTTGGTTCAGATCATTCAGATAGTTACAGCCGAGCCACGATTACGCTCCTTCTTCAATACACCGTCAATCCTTCTGGCTTTGAAGAACGTCACACATTCATCATACATGTCTGGTCATGGATCAGCAGACCGAGAAGATGAACTCAAGGGACATGAACGCACAAAGTACCTTGCAAAGCAAGCGCTGCTTGCCATTGAGGACAACCCTTTGAATGACGTCATTGAAGATTTTCTGCAAATATTATTTATACATGAAGACTCTCAAGTGCTCGAGCACATTGGGTACAAGAACGTCATAACAAAGCTTCTTGAATACCGCCAGTAAGCTGCGTCTCCCTTACATGATTAACGCGAATGAAACTGAAATCCTATATTTGCTAGCAACCCTCGTTATTCATTCATAGCTAGATTTCTCAAAATCCGTGTCTTGGAGTTTGCAAGCAACGTCTCAGCTTCCTCACAATCTCAGTTTGAACAGTATAGGCAGAATGAAGGTCTTGATAGGGCTATTACATTACAACGCGTGGTTTTGGAGCTTCTTCCTGAAGACTGCCTGTATTGTTCCATGTTTCAGAACAATATTACACCCTCCATGAGAACACGATGTATGCGTCATGGAAGGATAGACGACCTTGAGGAGGAGATTAATCCGGACTTGGCCACTCTCGATCTTCGCCCTGAACGCCATCCTGACCGTTCCGCATCTCTTAGAAACCTATCAGCTGGTCTGAGAAAGCGATACGAACACTATGGAAGAACGGAAGACCTTGAGGAATCCATTGAATTGGCCCGAGCTGCTCTCAAACGCCACCCCGAATATCATCCTGATCGGTCTATCACTCTCTACTACCTTGCAACTTCTCTGTCATTACGACACTTACAGTACAGAAGGATGGAAGACCTCGGGGAGATGATTGCGTTGGCCCGAGCCGCCCGCGAGCTTCACCCCAAAGGCCATTGCTATGGTTCTATCTCCCTCGACTACCTTGCTAATAGTCTGAGAATACCACACATGCTGCAAGGAAAGATTCAAGATTTTGAGGAGATGGCCAGGTTGATCCGAGGCGCCCTCGAACTTCGATCTGACGGCCACCTTAATTCTTTCACCATTCTGATCGAACTATCAACTTTTCTGGACATGCGATACGTGCAGCATGTAAGGATGGAAGACATTGAGGCAGCGACTGAGTTGGATCGACCTACCCTTGAGGTCTGGCCCCAAGGCCATCCTGATTGCTCCACTTCTCTAATCAATCTTCCACCATCTCTGCAAATGCCCCATGTGCAATATGGAAGGATGGGGGACCTTGAGGAGATGAGCGAGCTAGGCCGTGCTTCTACTGAGCTTTTCTCCAAGGAACATCCTGGTCGTTTCACCTGCATAACCATTGTATCATTCCCTCTGAGGATTCGATATGTGCAGTGCAAAAAGATGGAAGACTTTCGGTTTGAAGAATCAATTGGGTTGGGCCGTACCACCCTCGAGCTTCGCACAGAGGGGCTTCTTGACTGTTACATGTCTCCAACTGTTCTATCAGCTGCCCCGAAAACGCAACGCCTAGTACATCATGGAGGGACGGAAAGCCTTGACAAGGCCATTGAGTTTGACCAAACAAACCTCAAAATCTTCCCCAAAGGTCACCCTAGTCGTTCCACTTCTCTTTTCAATCTTGCAGCTTTCTTTGGGACGCAATACATGCTGTACATAGGAATGAACGCCTCCCTAACTATTCTATCAGCTCCTGTGGAAATGCAATATATGCAACATGGAAGAGAGGAAACTCTTTAGGAGGGGATTGAATTGGACCAAGTAGTCCTCCAGCTTTGCTCCAGCAATCCTGATTGTCTCACTCATCAGGAAAAAGTCTTAAGGCTTATATTAGCTTAAAAACATATAAATTATATAAATTTTCTAAAAAATATAAAAGACCATATATCCAACCTCTCAAAATGAGAAAATCATAAAAAGCTATATAAAACACAAAAAGGTATGTATGTATTGTCAATATGAATAAGGTTTATAAGTGTTGACAATATGTAAACAAACTTATATCCAACCTCCTAAAATGAAAAGATATTAAAAGAACTCTGTATTTTGACAAGAGTAATATAGTTTTATAATGTATACAATCTAATGTAAAGCTTTAAAAGTACTTTGTATATTGTTAGACATTATTATACTTTATAAGAGCTTTACAAGACTTCAAAATTGTTATAATATTTTACAATCTAGATATTTATTTATTTCTCTCTTTTTCCTCTTATAATTAAGTATTTACATTTTAATACACTTGTATTGATTTATTTCTATGACATTTCATTCTAATAATACTGTACTTGTGAAACAATCATGTAGACATGGAAATAAATAAGAGAGAAAGAAAGGAAAGGAGTGTCCAGTTGTGGAGAATCATGTATAACAAAAAAAATCGAAAACATGTCACTAGAGTACAGTATTTATCAGACCAGTCATGGAGAACCATTAAGAAATCGTCCCTACAGTTGGTCAAGAGTCAAGTCAATACTATTCATTGGTAGGAATGAAATAAGGACGTACCATGAAGTGAACCTTGCTGGACTCAATGTGTGACAGTAGATTCACCTTCTAGTACTTTATTAGACATCCAATGTATCTGAGGAAAAATGAAAACTTACTAGAATGTGTCTTCATTGTACTGTGAGTCCTCTTGTGTCTGAGAGGATGCTACTTGGGCTTCAACAGCCTGTTCTTCTGCTTGGGCTTTCCAGGCCTTCAAAATGGCTGTAAACAACATCATCTTGTCCTTATTAGACTCCTTATCAGACTCAGACTTGTTGGTAAAACTAAAGATATTAGATTGTGTTCTGGATTAGGAAATCCCCAATTGCCTTATGTAGAATTACTACACTTGGAATGTCTCAGACTATCAGACTTCACTATGTAGTATATAAGGTAGACACTTGCTTAATGTCTCAATAAGAGAGAGTACTTGGAGCACTCCTACTATGCTTGTTAAAAGGTTATAAGCCTTGGTGCCTATTGAATGCCCTTACACACTTGCTCTTACAGAATGCCTTTGCCTCCTGCTAGACCACCAAGCCCAAGACCTCCCTCTCCCCCCAAACCTATTACAATGTTGTCTATAATACATACCTTTGTTAATGCTACAATGAAGGACTCTGATGTTATGAAGTTCTTTAAGGGAATGGAAAAGTTGGCTAGTGTAAAGGGATACAAGATATGGTGCTTGTACATACACAGTACACTTGCTGCCATGATACTCTTAGACCATCTAGAGCATGATCCCCCTTCCTCCAATGATGCTAGCATATGTACAGGTAATGTTTTGTATTACTATATAACGAAAACAATAACTAATACAATTTATGTGAACTTCACAATACATATGAGTATTAGAAGTCTTATGAAGGCACTTTCTAAA